CCTGTAACTGTACGTTAGTTAAGTACTGATAGAGTCTTACTGGACAACAGCGATGATGGCATCCGCTCGCTCAGTGAAACAGAGTACAAAACTGCAGTGAAAGCGAGTCTCTAGCTGAACCCTGCAAAAACAAAAGTAATGAGGCACCCAGTGTTCTTGCAGTTCAGATATTAGGATGCCCTCCTTTCGACGAATGGAAACCGCGACAGCACCTGGTTAGAAGGAAGGCGTCGGAGTCGTTTACCTTTAAGGGCTTTGCCAACGTTTGGACTCAAAGAGGAACTTATTCTGTTTTGCTGTTGTCAGTCCAGTTCTGCTTCACGAGCTGGAAACCGGCCCAGGCGCAAGAGCACAGGAACATGAACTGGGCAGCTTGCAGCAGAGCTGGTTGCGCCGGCTGCTGAAGGTCATGTGGTATGACTACGTAGGAAACAGTCGAGTCTTGGCACTAAGGAACTTCGCTGACGCATCGAAGTAGCTGAGATGCTGACGCTGGCGTGATTCAATCATTTGCAAGAGCAACAAAACCTCTTTGACTCGTCGTCTGCTGAGGTAGGAACCCAAACACGGACGGAGAAGCATCACATGACAGAGGAAAACAAACGTCGATGTGGAGCGTTTCCTTCGTCGACGCAGTTAAAATGTCCTAACGTCGAAATGCGATAAATGGATATGAGGGGACACAGCAGCCTGCAGGTTTGCAAGAACGCTACAAATGATTAAGACAAACAACAGCATTATTAAATTACTTTGTGTAGAATGATAGACTGAGGGTATTCGATGCCATTTTAACCTGTTTGTGTCTTACATTCAATCTAGGAGATTTCAGTCTTTCTAGAAGAGAAGGTACTTTATGGAAGACAAAAAATGAGCCATGAACAGCTAAATAAAAGAATCAGACTCAATGAACAACGAATAGTTTTATTCGAAAATTCATTTAAACCTTGCTCCTTGGAAAACTGTCTCCTTTACCGCAACGGTATGCGAGATTAATATGAACACTGAAACAAATAATTGAGATTGAGACAGAGTAATTCCTGAAGCATTTGATATGAATCTGAAGCTTTACTTCACACAGGCCAGGAGTATAAAATAATTTGGACAACTGTATTTTTTATAATTTATCTAGCTGGAAAAGAAGATGAATCGTCAATGAAGAAAATCAGCATAAGATACATTTAAATCCATCTGCAACCCACCTTCCTCTATGAAAGAGGTGAATAACCGAGAGTGCAGCACTGTGTTGCACTAACGGCTAAAGTTTCGGACGGTAAGGAATCTCATACCTTAAGTGGATTGAATTAATGCATAGGAACACACCGGAACGAATTCGTTGTCTCTATGATTCATCTAATAATCTAGGTTTATAATAAACCTCACTGACCTCATGACTTACATCGTTCACTGAACAATATATTGTTCGCGGATTAGGTTTGTTTGCGATGTAAATATCTCGGTAATATATACTGATGCTCTTTGTTTCATTGAACTCAGCATGGTAAGTCAAAAATGTATCTGATGATACTAGGGGATCTTCTAACACAGTCGGAATGGACACAGAATCCACTAATGGGCAAACAATGTATTATTCTGTTCATTTTCCACTTTCACAACTTGATCGGTGCCGAAAGAACAAAAAAAGCAAGAGGTACAATATTTGAATCTTTTAAAAATAGTATTAAAATTGAGTATTAATCAATACTACTTCGAAGGTAAAAGCAATGCCCGTTACGCAACTTTATTGCTCGATATGAATCGATACTGCGGACAATATTAACAGCAAGCAAGGATTGCTAGCTTTGAAGAAGGTCTGAAAGAATGTACCAAAATATTTGGTTTATCTGACGGTGAGCTTTGCTCATAAAAGTGGCGAGTTTCATCACTTAGAGGTTGACGGCTAGAAGCTCCAGTCGAAGGGTGGTTCTTTCCAAATACAGGATTATTTTCTCATGTGTATATATGAAGCAAATCTTCCACATTCGGACATCATGTTGTCGTGGCATTTGTCACAACGTGAGTTTAAGTGTGAACAGTAACGCCGTACACTGCCCAGACGACCCTCATTTATGACGACGGCAGTTTTCAGCAAGGAAGTAGAAAAGAATGAAATCCTCTGAGGTCAGAGGAATCAAGAACGCCTATAATTAAGTTCATAGCCGATCAATTAAGACTGCTATTAACCACATTAACCGCATGACTTACTGGTAGTGTTACAGCGCCGGATGATGTTCTCGAGGAAGGTGTTTTGGGGAGCTACCAGCCCACGCTTAGCGCCGGTCATCACCACCGAGTTCCGATGGCACCACAAGAAGACGACGCTCGCGACGACGGCTAACAGCTGGACGGACGACGAGGCGCGACGACGGCTGCGATCGTATTTGTCGATGCTGGATCGGCAGAAGAGGAGGAAGAAGAGGAAGAGGAGGAAGCAGGGCCACACCTGCGGCACCAGCAACCGGGGGACGAGGCTTAGGAAAACAGTAAACAAGAGTTTGGTGGCGCTGTCAACTTTGGTCAAAGGGCACAACGACATAGACTGGTGGTGGTCAGCGACGAGGTTGCGACGAACGCAATGATGTCAGCAGAAATCCGCCACGATCCGCACATGCAACATTTCCTCCAGCCTAAAAAAACCGCCCTCGCATGTAAATGTAGTGTGCAGTAAACGGGAAACGTTAACGAAATTGATCAACAATAGCGCAGCACCATCTATGGCTCATGCCGGTCGCCGTAGTGATCATTTATTAATGAGTAATTGCGTTAATCATCGATTGGACCAACACATTACACAACGCATAATCATAAATAACGGCCCATCCTAGAACCTCGCTGTTTGCTTTCGTACAATGGGGTGAGGTACACGACCGCACCCCTCACCCTCACGTTGAAATGCACGATCTGCCAAAAAACAGCCCAGAGCACAGGCGTACCGAAACTCGCAGCTCTAACAAAAAAGCAGTTGTGGACCGCAGGGGTTAACGTTTTCAGCGATTATGTCTTGCACTGCTGGTGTCCTCGTCTGTCAGCTTACTCTCAAATGATCAATAACTGAAACGTTGATGACTGACCGGGGTAACGACTAACGACATAGCCTTCGTGCCACCGAATGTTCGGCCGTCCCAATGCCCTCCTGTTCGTTTATAACATAGCTCGGACGGTTGTATTTCTGACTCCTACCTTGAAATCATCCGTATCTGGACGAAACGTGCAACTGCAGGTGAAACCGGCGGCCGATGGCTACTTTTAGCTTGCATGACAATGATGGTGATGAAGCCGGAAACGCTCACTGCTTCAATCTAACTTCAGCCATAAAAACCAACACCTTCCTTCCCGGCATCAGCGTTGCTGTATATGTTCGTTCGACGAGATTCAATAAGAAGTACTGATTCTTCCCTTCGGTAGAATTTAGATCCTCCATACATGAACGGTCTTGTCCGGCATTTATCGATTGGCCCAAGCAGATCGATTTGTATCAGCAATCCGAACGATAGTTAAAATCAACTGCTCCTTACGCAAAATGAAACATGAACACAGGTTTTAAAAAATTAAAAAGATATCGACTATTGTTTGATCGTCGTGTTTGCGAGAATCTTGACCCACGAGGAAATATTCAGGTAGCAATTATCTGTTATAGCAATGAATTTGCCTGAAGTTCTGTCAGCAGAATGTGAATTGAAGTTGCTGAATCGCTGAACGAATCAGCGTAAACGGATGATGAAGTCACTGACAGGCGTCCATTACTAATTAACGATAGACGAGTCTCAGTCGACTAGTCAAAATTCATGACATATTTGTGTCATTCCAAAGAATATTTCCTTTCATAATCATATTTTGATTCTGCTTTTTCGACTCGTTTCCTCGTTTCTTTTCTTCTACTTTCCTCTTGGGTCGCATTGTCATTCGCTGAAGCGAACTGCCCGGACTAATAAATGACCACCTACTTCCCTATATGGTTGTGATCGATGAGAATCGGCGAGGTGCACTGGGGAGAATAGCACATTAGTCCTCCGATCCACCACGTGATTGTAGATGACAACCTTCCTGCTCTACCTCACCCTCAGTGAACATGAACGAAGAGAGGTGTTACTATTCGTGGCCTGGTCTTGCCGGATATCCTTAAACATCATTGCATTTAGACGTTCAGCTGCAATCAGATGTGATGCTACTGCTAATCAAGTAAACAAGTATCGATTTGCTACTCCTGACATGGGTTCATGAAGACGCTAGATCGGTATGGAATTGACTTCGGGTTGGCAATATGCGCTAACGATTACCCTTTGCTAGATATGCCATAGAGGGGATCTTTCTGATAGGGTGAGACGGTGAGGCTCGACATTGGTTAGTGAACCCTATCCATTAGAGAGCTCACCAAGCGCTTGCTGGATCTCAATCGGCTGATTGAAGGTTGTGGAGGACGAAAAATACAGTTTACGATGGTTGACGCCCTGAACAAACTGCCCATGAAACTCGCCAAGAAAATGCTGCGCACGGAAGAATGTCGGAGTAGTTAGTGCAGCCTACCTACAGTGAAGGCTTCTCGCCAAACACTGGATCACTTACAACCCGGTGATGGTCAAGGCAAGATTGACAAAACACAATAAATATCATCAAAACCTTCATGGTTAGCCGCAATGCGAAACTCTGTCACCAGACGCGCTTGTTAACATCCACATCACTGAGGTGGGGGGGACATGTTCCCTCGGAGTGTGAAATCCAAAGATCAGCTGGGCATATGGCACAGTGGCACAACGGTGATTAAGTATTCCTCGGAAAAGAATGCGAAAATCAGGCTAAGACAGGAAATATAGGATTCATCGTACGGGCGAGGGCTGCACTGCTCGTAGCCAGCTGCGACCTCGTTTCAACAACTTGTGTCGCAGTACTAATCCTGTGTGTGGATGAGAGAAGATCACTAAAGACGTCGAAACTGATTGAGAGCCGAAAGCAGCAAGCACACGGTGTGAACAGGATGGCACAGTGCAAGACACGTCCACAACACAATGGTGCAAAGAAATTTTGACGCCGCAGTGGAAAAGGGAGCAGTAATGACAGGGTGTTTCATCGGGTGGTTTGGAGGTATGGAGCGAAACGAACGCGGTTCCCGCCTCGTAGCGTTTATCGAACGTAACCGCCTCCATGTCATGAATACCATTTTTGAAAAAGCGTAGAAGAGGCAACGGACCTTATGAAACGACCCTTAGCGCAATCAACTGCATGCTGGCTGACGCACGTTGAGTAGCAACAGGTGGGTGTGTCATTGTGGAAGTTATTATCTGCACCGGGGTAGACCAAAGATGACTCCGTTCATCAGTAGCAATCAATATCGCTAAAGAAGATCAGGTTAAAACGGATGAAAGAGCAGAAGCTATTCGACGAATATTCGATCCTGAAACTGTCGCAGACAACCTTCCTCATCTGAGCCTCGCAACAGATATCAGCAGCGGCATCGATGCTGACACCAGTACCTCATGGATACCGTAAAATCTGCAACTTGGTCATCCGTCAGCGCAACACTATCGACGAGGTAGCAGCGCAATCGCCCCGTGAGGAAACAGCTTTTGGTTGGAATTGCCAGAATAAAGGGTAATGAGTAACTGGTCGACGAATACATGATGTTTTGCAAAGAAATATGCAAGAAGATTCTCAAGGACCATGGCGTAAAAAACGACGTTGAATAAGGTAGCTTTAAAAAAGAATAACCTGGAGCGTGAAAAGGGCATCAGCCTATAAAGGCGGATTCAGAAAACACTAAAGGACTAATGAATAAGGCGAATTCCATATCTCTGTCGCATATAAGCGATCTTAACGAAGTTTTACAATAGCCTCTACTCCTCGAGGGTAGAGGTAAACCGAAACCTGCCGCACATTGCCCGGAAACACTTTCAGACTTCTATTGGAACGAAGTATAGCGAGAAGTAAAGCATGGCAAGAGTAGCAGACGCTTCAGCAGAGACGGCATGAAACGGAAACATTTCAAACCTGGGCGAATGACCATCTTCAAACTCCTTGTCGAACGATGTGCAAAAAATATCGGGCTGAAGAAGATGCCAAAAGCACTGAAGAGCTCTTCGACGATTCTTATGTTCAAAAAAGATGATGCAAAAGACCGCCAGAAACAAGCATTCATCACTCTCCAATCAGATGTGCCAAAGGTTTTTACCCGAATCATCCTCAACGTATCCGGAAAGATCTGCAGTTGGTCGTTAGCAAAGAGCGCGGTTCTCCACCATGGACTACATTCACATGGTAAAGATGTAATCAGAGAAGTGCAAGGACTATAAATTCTCCCTCTGCAGCGCATTCATTGATTTCAGATAAGTGTTTCAGCATATCGAGCTAGGCGGTGTACTGAACGCCTCGCACGACTGCGGTATCAACCTTGTTTACGTCGACCTGAGCGAGGCACTGAATACCGACAGCGCAACCGACATCAAACTGTTCGAGGAATCAAGGAGAATTAACAATAAAAAATGAGTACAGCAAGTAGACCATCTCTCGTTTGCTTTTCGCGATAACGCTGGAATCCCTCTTTAGCCTCTGAACTGGGCGGCGGTACTAACATTTGCTGAGAACGGCTCTCCCATCACCTCATTGCAGACAACTTAATCATTTTCGCCAAAAACCCGGCGGCGCAACTTCAAAGAAAGGCAGGCAGCTGCAGAAGGAGTCACAGATGAGCATCTCGAAGATGAAACGGATGCGCACAAGTATTGCCTCGCAGGTATCTTCAATGGCTGCGAAGAAGTGGGTAAAGTTCGCTAGTTACGTTAACCTCGGCTATCTAATAAGTTCATTGAAACAGTATCAACGACTAGACCAGCAGAAGAAGGAATGCGGCATGGGCAGTTTCAATTCATCTCAAAACATTGCTGCTGCATAACAAATTGCTTATGTTGAAGAACAACGAACAGTTTGACTCCGCTGTCTTGACCACCATGATTTAAGGTACGGACTGCTGGTCTACCACCAAGGTCGAGGAACAAAAACCAGAGTATCGCAAAGGACGATGGAAAGAAGAATATGCGAGGTTTTCCTTTAAGACCATGATCTGGGTGGGGTTTGGCGCTGGACACAATTTCTCGATGTACTCACCTCGACCAATAGCGGAAGATGAGGGGCTGGTTATGTGGCTCCTCTGATGGGCAATGGGTGGACCTCCCGAGTTATAACTTTTTCCCCGTTAGAAACAGACGTTCATTCAGTCATCCAGCAACACGCTGAGGGGCGACCCAACGATGAGGTTGTTTGATTAACGGTTAAAGCAAAGGGCGCAACAGATAGACACTTTCTTGCTAGACATTGCCTAGACTCACATATTTATTGTTCTTTTATTGGACCTGCTCTTCCATTGTGCTGAACTATTGTGTTAGGGCGTTAAAGAGGTTATGAACAGCAAGTCCGAAGTTTATTATCATTAGAACATATGCAGAAACGGCTACATAGTTCGACAGTAACCGAAAAAGTCAAATCCTTAATCGTACATGAAAAATTATGGGACATATCACAAGGCTTGCTCACCTCGATTCGTATGCTCTTCGCGTAACCAGACTGAAGAGGAAATTTTGGAACCTACTCA